GAGAGAGAGAGAAACACTCGACACGGGGTCTCCCACACGGGAGCTGCACGTGCAGTTACATGAATGTAGTCTGGCAGGCAGCGTGGGCATGTGTGTCGGAGACAGAGATTTACACGGGGAAAGGGCACCTGCTAAAATATTTATAAAATTTTCAAGAAAACATGTTTTAAAAATGAAAAATAAACAGATGTACAAGTGCAACTCGAGAGAAATACATTATGCAAGTTTGCAAGAGCTGAGTGGCGGCGTGCTGGAGACAGCGTGGGAGTGGGGAGTGAGTGTGTGTGCCGAGGACCTGCAGGGTGGGATAAGCCTGCCCCTGCTGCCAGAGCCGCCCCTACCACGCAGACCAGCAAGTGGGTGCAGCACTCCAGCTAGGGGGTGGTGGCTAAGAAGCAAAACCCATCTGGGCTGTGCAACGTGGATCTCCTTCATTGTAACCTGGAAGTCGGCAAAGTGAGAGGCAACACTCACTGCCCAGCCCCGGGAGGGGAAATCTCAGTCGGAATTCTGCCACATCACCTTGGTCAGGCCACCGACCAAACCCTCCACGCTGACTGATCTGCAAGATGTTCTGCGACCCTTTCTAGGGGGAAGAAAACGAAACGCTGTGTGGGACAGTGCTGTGGCTCACTGCAGGAAAGGCAGCACAAATCAAGGCCCTGATGAGAAGCACCAAGTGCGAAGTCACAGGTGGCCATTGAGAGCACAGGGAATTCTTCAGCAGTGAAATGCAGCATGCTATTTAAGGCGTTTCCACAAAAGTGGGGGGAGCACTAGGAGATGTCCTCTTGGTTTTCCAACTGAACAATACCGGCAAAGTGCTTTGGATATCTGCCTGGTGTGTGGCTTAGACTTTATTATTTGTTTAGTATCACAAAGTTATATGGGGGAGAATGCTAAAAACCAGGCATTTCTCACATATGGGTGATTAGAGGCGTTCTGCTACCTGAAGGAGTGCAGGGCCGGAATTCCCATAGACATGTGCCTAAGGCCTTGGCGACTCATACGGGTGGGCTCAGCCTTGTCTGGTTTCCTACCTAATCCCAGCATGCTTTTAGAAGACCCACATGCACCAGCACCAACGTTGTGCTTCCTGACGCGACTTAGATTTAAAAAATTTTGTTCTTGTGAAAACGACATTCAAGAAAAATGTGGAAAGAAAGAGGGAATTCATAATCCCACAATCCAGTCGCAATTTCTAATACATTTTAGGGCTACAGACATGTCCTGAGAGGCTTCCATGGGTCTGCAGTGGAGATTCAGAGGTGATGAAGACACTGTCCTACAGGGCCAGGGGCTGGGGACACTGACACACACACAGGCAATGACAGACTAATGTGATAAGCACGAAGGCCAGAGGTCAGGGGCTCCAGGGGCCGACACCCAGCCTCACCAGGGACTCAGGAAAGGGCCTTCCTGGAGCGGTGACAGTAACCTGACTCTTAAAGAACAATGGGCATAGTTAGAGAAGAAAACAATTGAGGAAAGTCCAAGATAGAGGGGAAACAGCAGAAGCACAAGCACAGAGGTATAAACAGCAGGAAATGGACAGGGTGGGGTGGTGGTGAGGGAGTGCAGACAGTTTGCTTTTATTAGGGGTCAAGTTCTAGGAAGGGAGTGGAAGGTGATGCTGGAGGGTAGCTGCAGACCAAATCATGGCGTGTCTTGCTAAGGAGCTTAGGCTTTATTTTGTAGGGGGTGGGAGCCACTGAACATGGGCAGATTTTCTCTGCTTGTGGGTGTTCATTAAAAAACAAAAGACCCTGTGGTTCCTGATTATCTTGATAACATATAACATTTACTCAGGCTTTTCAGACGTTTTATCTTGCTCTTAGGTTCGCATCAGGATGGGGCTTACCAAGAGGCAAAGGATTGCTGCATGTAGTATGTGGACCTGAACTGAGGTCATGACCTCATTATGTGGCCTCTGTCTTCTTCCCTGGCATAGACATGGAACAGACTTCTTTCCTGGCACAGTCTGAGCTGAGTTTCCAGAATGTGGCCAGCGGAAAGGTCAAGCCGGATAAGGTTGCACTGCTTGCCTTAAAAGCTACAGTCAGGGGCCGGCCGAGTGGCGCGATGGTTAAGAGCTGGCTTGGGATGCCAGAGGGCCCCGGTTCGGATCCCACATATGAGGGCCAGTGACACTGAGCGGCCGTCCAGAAGCCGGCGACTGATCTGCCTCGCCCGGGAAGAGTGCAATGATGGTGCCAAGTTGGGCCAGTGAAGCAATGTCCTCCACAACTAGACTGAAGAACAAAAGGACAGCAACTTGTCTGTACCCCTTCCCCCAAAATCCCCAATAAAAAATCTTAAAAAAAAAAAAAATAAAAGCTACAGTCAGGAGCCAGAGCCCACCTGTAGCTAAAGGTTGCTTATCAAGGAGCAGGGCGCACAGAATCCAAGTGAGGGGGAGCTTGGGCGATGGAAGCTTGTTCCCTGAGGCAAAATGCTCTCAGGAATAGGGAAAGAAGTGACAGCCACTTTGAGGCAGAATTGCAAAATTAAGGACCCTGGGTCTGCACAGGGCTTTAGGAGGTCATGTGGCTGAGCAGCTGCCTCACAGTAGGCAGGAGGGAACCGTGGTAAAAACACAAGATTTGGAATCAGACAACTAGATTTACGGTCAAGTTCTGCCACCCAGTGGGCAGTGAGTTACCTAACCTCTCTGCACTCTAGTTTTCCCCTCTGTGGATGGAGATAAAACACTGCCAAAGTCATAGGGTTGATGTGAGGATTAAATGGGACTATCTACAAAAATAGTTGAGAATAATGCCTGGTCCATATATGAGTGCAATAAGTGTTAGCTATTTGTACATACTAAATGGAAAATAGAACAGAACTATTGGTACGACTGAAAGGTATAAAATATTGATGCCCACACAGACACACACATTGCAGATGTAAAGTAATTATTTTTGTTGCAAAACTTGTTTACAAATGAACCCAGAGGTCCCTGAATGGTGATCCTTCTTTCTACTCCTCCAGGCTTCACTACTGTAACTTGGCATCAGTCCTAGTCACTCCAGGTTGCTGATGGCCACGGATTTGTCAACTCACCAATTTGCGGATTTCACATTCTAAGTTCTGAATACAGTCTAGTTTCCTCTTGCGACAGCGCTGGGCTGCGATCCGGTTCTTGCTGCGCCGTCGGACGTCGTGAATGAACTCTAACTGTTCTGAGGTTAGCTTGTGCATCTTAATCATCATCTGGAAATCGTTCCTCGGAAGATCTGTGATTTGATCTACAGGAAAGGGAAGTTTGACCTGAAACCAAGAATAATATAAGATGATTATGACAGCTGGATTTTAGTCTTAATTCTGGCAGGTAGAACATAAAAAAATGGTAAAACCTCCTTTTTAAGATGACCACGTCATATGGAAACTACTGAAAGCAAGCTATGATTAATTCTTTCCTGTTTCAAATATAAATAAGATGTAATATTCAGATAATCAAACAGAACGTGAACACATGAATTATATCGTGGTTATCATTCCTGAGATTTTTGAAGCAAGCAGCACTGAAAATCTTGGAAATTGTATACTTTTTCATGGCTACAGCACTTTTGTAAGAGGGGCTCTCTAGTTATTTGAAACCTACTTCCATTGAGCCTCATCTCAATACAATGTCATTTTATAGACAGATATCACCTAAGGAATTATCTACACCACTTGAACTGAGAAAGCACTCCACACCTTGAAGATGCTGGAAAGATGGAACAATCAGCATGATTCGTAGCTTCCACAGCATAGGGAGATACAGGGAGCCGGCTTGTATAGGCTATACCAGGTGGACGAGGAGTTAAAACGGGGCTGTGTCCTCCCCACCGGACATGAAGCCCCAGGCTCGTTACTGTACTTCTCTGAGCCTCAATTTCCTCATCTGCAAAATGAGGCATGGTTTTTAGCTGCAGAGTGCTTCACAAGCGTTAGGCACTTTGGCAGATTATATTTTCTAAATATACAATGGCCATCCCATCTCACATTTTCTTTCACAACATGATGTCGGCCTTCCTTTATCAACAAGTGAGATGCACGTCCCTGACTCTTGATCAATACAATGCAGCGTGAGTAATGGTGTGTGACCTTGAAGGCTAGGTCATTAAAGGTGTTGCAGCTTCCTCTTAGGCCTCTTAGATTGCTCTTTCTGGAGGTAACCAGCTGCTATGCTTCAAGGACACTCAAGCAGCCCTGTGAGGAGGCCCGTATGGAGAAGAACTGATGCCTCCAGTCAACAACCAGCATCACCTGGTCAGTCACGTGTATGAGCGAAGCTGGATGTGGACTTTCCTGGGCCAAAGCTTCAGATGACCGAATACCCAGCCTGCACCTGACTGCAACCTCATGAGATATCCCGAGCCAGAAGTGCTCAGATGGGCCACTCCCGAACTCCTGACCCACGGAATGGTGGGAGGTGGGATATGATCATTCTTGTTTTAAGCCACGATGTTTGTGGGTGATTTGTTGTGCAGCAATACATAACTGATGCGGTTACTACTATCAGCAAGATTCCTACTTTCAAACTCTTGACAAGTCAAGGCCGATCAACATTATCCAAAGAGAGGACCCTCGTTTCTTGAAGGATGGCTGTGTGTCCTTGTATTCTGTTAAATGCTTGCTTACAACCTTGTGGTGGTTTGAAATATTTCCTAAAAGCACTGCTGTTCTCCAGGGCCTCCTCCGCAAACACGAGGTACAGGACACAGGCCTGCACCTCCCAGCAGTTTGCAAGCCCTTGACTCATGATGCAGGGACTTCAGGGTTCAGTTCTGGGCCTGTTTCAGAAGGTCCTGGAAAAGGAAGGTTGCATGTTGCTCCACCACGAGACAAAGCGTTTCCCAGTTCAGACGGCTTCATTCTTGCTTCCTTTAGCGTCTGCTTGAGAGCGACCAGCAGATGGCGCTCTAAACCTACACTTCCTTCAAGGGCCAGCCCGGCGCTGTTCAATGCAAACAGCGCGAGCCACATCGGTGATTCTACGTTTTCTAGTACCCACCGATTAAAAGAATGAAAAGAAGTGAAAAGAAACGGGTGAAATTAAATTTAATAATATACTTAAGTGAACCCAATAGATCCAAAATATTTTCAACATGTAATTAATATAAAAATTGGGATATTTTACTTTTTGTTTTTGGTACTACGTTTTCAAAATCTGAAGTGTGGTTTGCACTGACAGCACATCACAATTCAGACCAGTCACAATTCTAGGGCTCAGTAGCCATGTGTGGCGTGTGGCTACTGTACTGGACAGCTCAGCTCTAGAAGACTGTACAAGTGGACGCGAGTGAACTTGAGGAACCAGAAAAACAGAAGGGTGGGTCTGGGTTTCATTGATCAAAATGTTTTTGGGATGAAGAAACCAAGTCTTCGTTAATATTCAGAAGCTGCTGTTTTATGTCTGTGTTGTTCAGGGGTGGGAGATGAAGATATTTTATTCTGAGTTCAGGCTTTCTCTTTGGTTGCATCAGATGCAGGCTGACGAGTCCAGATCCTGGCATTTGCGACTATTAATCCCCATGCACAAAAGCAATCATACTAAACAATCATTTGGCTTTTCTACGGCTGGATGCAATTGCTTTGACAGGATACTTCATGGCTCTGAGCCTTACGGACGTGGCATTTGCTGAAGGCTCCCAATGGGCATTCTGATTCAACTTCCGCATGGTAAACGCTGCCCCATGACACCTGTACAATTTTGGCCCAAGAGAACAAAATCGCAGTGACACACATTACACCACTCTCAGCTCAGCTCTGCTCCGACTGCTAAAAACCAGCAGCCAGGACAAACAGCTCCTTGTTATGGGCCCAGGAAAGGGCTTTGTCCATGGGGCTGTGTTTGCACAGGGATTATAATAATATGAGAGAATGTTTGATTTCCCTTATATGCCCTTCGGATAACAAACAGACACTCAGATCCTGGATGGTGCTTAAATAACACAGAGGTCTGTCTGTTGGGGACACGGATGTTTCCACACCAGGCAGAAGCCTTGTTTGCACAGCAGAGGTTGCAGCACTTCTGGGCCTGGTGGAGTCTCCCCTTCTGCTGACAACAAAGCAATTCTGTGTCTGCTCTAAATTGTGTTTATTTATTTTCAGAAAGAATATCTACCTATCGTTCAGGCCACAGGGAAAGTCAAAGGGCCTTTTATACCAAGAGTTACTGTACTTAACATCATCCAGTGAATATAAAACACTAGGGAAGGAGGACGGAGGTTGACAGGAAAAAAGAAAACTCAACAATGCTAGTTTCAAAGTCCTTGAAGCAAAAGGCCATATAAAGTATCAGCCGAGCTGTTGCAACTCCAGCTGCTTTGTAAAGAGGTCAATGGAAATGAAAATAGTCAGCCACAGACTTTCTTCCATGTGAAAACAAAAACAAAAACCAAAACAACAAACCCAACCCCAACCCCTCGTGTCGCTGTTTAAAAGGCTCTGTTACCCCTCCAGCAAGGGAGAACTTCCACCAACTACCAAGAGGGAAATCCCGGAAGTGTTCCTGGAAAGGCACAGTGGTAACCTCACCACAGCTGTTCGTTATTTTCAGAGGAGTAAGTTCCAAGCCAATGGGGATCGTCCCTGGACATAACGAGCAGTCACAGACAGACCGCTGATGGAGCTGAGGGAATATTCCAGTTTCAGACTTGCAGGCACCCTGACATTCCTCAAGCAGGGCTCAAAAGTCATGCTGGGTGTTTTATGATGAGGTTAGTAGCGAATGCTACTTAGCCTGGAAAAGTGGAAACACATCGAGAAGGCTGAGGCCCTTTTTCCTTTTCCCCGGTGAATTCTTACAACCCTAATAGGCCCATTAGGGCTCCACATCTTATTTATTGTTCCTCCACACACTTATTCTTCCAGGATTCTACTTCTCAGCAGCAGTTTGGTTTTCATTCATAGGACCCTCATCATAAAACACCCAACATGACAAGATCAAATTCCTGCCAACTACCCACCCCCCCATCTGAACTTGCAGGCCTGCAGCTGCTTTCAGCCAACCACACGCACAGGAGGCTCCGCACAGGTTAAGCAGGCAGCACAGCAGGGGAAGGGCCCCTGGGATGGAGGGCGCTGATTTCTCTTTAGGCACAGGGCATCCGCATAGGCGCTGCCCGCCTGGGCTTTGGTTCTCAGCAGAGACTCTGAGAGTCAAAGGCAGCCAATGAGTCAGCAAGCTAAGGGCCAAACGGCACCACATCACCATGAGCCAGCTGGTGCCACAGCTTGCGTCACCTGCTCCTGTCGCTTCTACCCAGCCCCAGCAGGGTGCTCACCCTTCTTTTCCCTCTCAGCACACCAGGAGGAATAGGACAGAGGACGTTTTTAGCCTGGTACTTGCACTGGCCGGCTAAGCGGTGACCAGAGGAAGGTTAGCCTCTCTGGGGCACCCAGCTCTTGAGCAGTGAAATGAGTGGCCCTGCAGTGTGCCCAGGGATCTCTGGCCCCAGGGGCTAGACAAAGGTGGGAGAATGTGGTGATATCTGCAAGGTGAATGATACATAAATATCCCTCCTCCAGGACTGATCACAGGGTGCCAGAGCCGGACCCCGGGGTGCCAGTGCTTCCTGCTCATCAAACACAAATCAGCGGCTCCACTTCTTTTCCCTGCCAACAACTACTCAGGTTCTGCAGCCAGAACACCCCTCTCTCCCAGGTAAACAAAAATATCATTTAAAAAATTATATGAGAGGGCTGGCCGAGTGGCTCAGTTGGCTAAGAGCACAAGCTCTGAGCAACAGGGGTGTTGGTTTGATTCCCACATGGGCCAGTGAGCTGCACCTGAGCTGAGCTGCCGCTGAGCTGCCAACAGGTGGCAGAATGGCTCAGCTGGTGAGAGCACATGCTCCTAACAACAAGGTTGCCGGTTTAACTCCTGCATGGAATGGTGGGCTACGCCCTCCCCTGCCCCCCAGCAACTAAGATTGAACATGGCACCTTGAGCTGAGCAGCTGCAAGCTGCTGACAGGCAGCTGGATGGCAAATGGACTTGCAGCTGAGCTAGCTGCGCCCTCCACAACTAAGATTGAAGGACAACAACTTGGCTGTTCCTTCCCTAATTCCCCAACACTGTTCCCCTTCCAAAATAAAATCTTCAAAAAAAAAAAAGTGAGAAATATAACTTCTTGTAGAAAATTCAAATATGAGGCAAAAGAGGGGGAGATTTCCACCCCCCAAAAATGACTCTCTTGCTCTGGTGGATTTCCCTGTGATCTCTATTTCCTCTGAGTATTTTTATAGGGGTGTAATCAGACCGACTGTAATCACCTCAC